TGATGAGTGCCTGAGTTCTTCTTGCTGCCTCAAATATTTCTTGACGAACATAAACACAGAATACAGCATTAGCACCATGCACCATATGTGGGGCATCGTGTTCAAATCAGGCGCTCGTTCAAATAATGAAATCAAAGAAACCGGCATTGTTCCTGGCAAAGGGCAACTATCTTTTTTTTTTATAGAACTCTTCTTTTTTTCGGCTCAATACCCTTTGTGTTCTTCGTAAAATAATTTTGAGTGAACATTGCCGAAAAATGTTGGTTAAATGCGCAAAAAAAATGAATTTCCAGTTGCCAAGGACACCCAAGCTTTGGAATTCACAATACTTTCTCGCCAATTTTACCTCTCACACCAGCCCCCCCCCTCCCCCAGATCCCCCTCAATCGCAAATACTTCAACTTCTGTTAAAGATAAATTAGTTGGCTTTTTTTTCGCAAAGTGCAATACAAATGAACAAGCTTTAAGATTATAATAAGAACTCTATATCATGCCCCAATATTGACAAGCGCCTGATTCCATCACGTTGTGACATGGAATATTACAATAAGACCACTCTCGCTCCCCCTGAGGCGAGGGGATACAGTATGGAGTGTAAATTGGTCGCTTTTAAGCACAAGGGGGCTATCCCGAAAAATGCTGTTTTGAGAAAATCGAAGTTACAGTTTTGTTCAGTTTCTTTAAAAGAAAAGGAGAGTTTTCTCTATAACCAAACAAATATACACACCAATGAAACCAAACTGCACCTATAGGTATGGCAATGCCCACTTTTGTAATAGGTTTAAGATTTCTGGAAACCCCCAAAATCTGGGTTAGCCCGCTTGTCCTTAAAAGCGACCAGTTGCTCCCCTCTCGACTCTGGTTCGAGGATCCTGTGTCGGAACGTCAGCAACTAAGACTCGACAGGAATAACTGGGTTAATGATTAGGGAGTAGAATAATACTACAGTATTCTTATTAAGTCTTTAATGTGGTTGTTAGCTTGCTACCTACAACCGACTTACAAAGTACCCAACATACCTGCCACAGTAATATCTACCTACTTAAGTCGTCTCTTTACTACGTCTTGTCTTGGCCCACTGGAATAGTCTAATACTAACAAGGTCACCTTAGCAGAGACTGCGACCAACATTTTGTAACTTCACGGTGACATTAAAGAAAAGTTCAGTAGAGAACTGGATTGCGGGTGCCCGCATTCCTAGTTACTCATCGGAGCAGGGGGAGATATGACTAACGCTAGCATAAAAAAAAGAACTCAACTAACAAAAGCATGTTTTCTCATTAATTATTTACATAAACACTATTTCACACCATTACTTATCACCACCATCATATCTAAAATCATCATTACTCTCAGATCCTTGACATACATCTATTTTTTAAATGTATCTTGAATATATGTCTGTAACAGATACAGGTTATAACAGTTATGTAAGTAATACACTATTCAACACTATCAATACTATCATAATATTGTGCACCTTTTTCTACTAATCAGATGGCGTCATTATCATACAAATGGGCAAGGGAAAAAAAGAAGCCAAAACGATAAGACCACTTCCGATTCTACTGCCACTAATGGTGCAAAAGTTCCAACAGCTATGTGCTTAAAATTCTATGGTCCCTTTAGATTTGGGACTTGAAAAGAGAAGGAGAAGAATTTTATCACATTATTATTTCCTCTTTTGTGCCTTTTAACTATTTGGTTCTTTGTGTTCATTTTAAATACACGCAGCGGGTTTTTTTTTCTTTTATCTTCAAACTTATCCCACTTTCTTCGTCCGTCCGTCTATTTTTTTCTTTGTCTTCCATTAATATCACATTCTTTCTCTTAAGTGTACTATTCCAGCGGATATGTTTTTGGAGGCACGTGCCATACCTTCCGTCTAACAATATAGCAATGTAATTGTATTGTCAGTTTTACTTCCGGACCATACAATAAACGGTGTTTTCAATTGGGCATAACGACTAAAAATCTAACGTCAGTTAAGCTGTAAAGAGGATATTGGAGGCGAAACTGGCCGCAAACGAATTGTGCCTCTATTGTTTGGTACAGATGTCAAAGGCGCTCCTGCGTGATTTAGATAGAAATCAAGATTTCTATAGTGTATGTCCTGTCCTCCAGAATAACAGAAACGTATAAAACATTGCCTGTGGACAATGGTTTCGGCTAATTTCTCACTCATATTTTGAGACAACCAACGTTCCCTTACCTTTCATTCAATTTCTTGTTTGTTATGCCCTGAGGTGTCCTAATAGTTTTTTTCCCCGTGAAATGAAAAGGTTGGGATGGAAGAGAGGGAGGCCTATACTTAATAAAATGAAAAAAAACAACCCCAACGTCTTACCCCCATCTATCTATCTATCTATCTATCTATCTATCTATCTATCTATCTATCTATCTATCTCTAAGTAAAAATAAGAGTATATACTCTCTTGTAACACCTCTTATCTTCTGGCGCTCACATTAATGACCTTATGCAGTTGCGAGCACCGTAAAACCTCTACTAAAACTAAACTAACCATTTTGTCTCATGTTCGATTCAGGAGTTTGTGGAACCTTGTTCCGACAAAGACATTTCCCTCCTGGCCATGTAGTCGTCTTGTTTGTGGGGCTGTCCATCTTGTACCTCCTGGTCATCCTTCAGATGTTCCAAACGACGTCAAAGCATTCGATTGAAATCAACAGGTTGGTGTATTTAGTAGGTTGCGCATGCATTTTTTGTGATATATAAATTAATTATTATGTATATAATACAATATTTTATATCATATATATTATGTAAACATATATATATATATATATATATATATATATATATATATATATATATATATATATATACGAATTACACATTTATGCTGATATACGTTATGCTGGTGGTTGGAGGGTGCACCAACTGTAGGTCCCACATGTTTACTTTGCCTTTGTTGTTTCTGTCAGTATGTCTGTCTTACTTTTTCCAAGAACTAAATTACCATTTTGTGTCGATGCGCTCATCTTTTCTGGGAAATACCCAAACGAAAGAAAGCACGGAAAAATCCATGAGCACAATACTCATATAAATTAATAATTTCTTTTGTTTGAGGGCTCTGATGCTGATTACAGGATGAACAATATTCTACAAGTTCATCGACTAGAACAGTTGAGATGTTTAAAAGACACTTCTATTCTTTTGAGGACTGGGCTTCAGATGTTATTAAAGAAATTGGAAGCTTCTAGGTAGACGGATTTATCATCCCACGGTACATAATAATATTGTCAAACGGATGCTCTAATGCACTTCCAGATAGCAACCATTTTTTAAATGGAGAAAAACTGAACAGAAAAAGAAGAGGGAGAAGAAGAAGAAGAAGAAGAAGAAGACGAAGAAGAAGAAGAAGAAGAAGAAGAAGAAGAAGAAGAAGAAGAAGAAGAAGAAAAAGAAGAAGAAGAAGAAGAAGAAGAAGAAGAAGAACAAGAAGAAGAAGAAGAAGAAGAACAAGAAGAAAAGGAGGAGGAGATGAGGAGGAGGAGGAGGAGGAGGAGGAGGAGGAGGAGGGGAAAACCAGACTTTTGCCGAATTCTTAGCTTTAAACTTCTTGCCGATAACATTTCCACAAGCGAGAACTTCACATAGCTCTACACCGCTTCGTCTTTATTTACCACATTGCAACTGATCCCCTGTGGAAATCTTTTTTAAAAAGAAAGAAATTTAAAGAATACAAAAAAGAACCCTACTTTTAATTCCTTACTGCTCAGATTGCGGGAAACACGACCCATTAATTTGGCAGGCAATTTACAGTGTCCGATTACAGTACTGAATCCTCATTCTTAAGTCAAGCAACGGGAACAGGAAACAGTTTTGGAATAGCAAAGGCTCGGATCTCCGAACCCGCAATGTCACGATTACAATTCTTGTAGCCTTGCCTTTTCGCTTGGCTGCAGACACCGCTAGGTTATTGGGACAGAGAACAATAAAATGGAAAGTCTTCACAGTCTGATTCCAAGACATGAATATCAATGTTCGATATAAAAAAAAGTCATTTAATACAACTTGACGTATATTATTTACTATTTATGTGAAAAGAAAAAAAGGAACCCTGATCTCTCTCTCTCTCTCTCTCTCTCTCTCTCTCTCTCTCTCTCTCTCTCTCTCTCTCTCTCTCTCTCTCTCTCTCTCTCTCTCTCTCTCTCTCTCTCACTCTCTTTCTCTCTCTCTTTTTTATTTCTTTTTCTCTCATTGTGTGTGTCTCTCTCTCTCTCTCTTTCCCTCTCCCTTCCTCTCTCCCCGTGCCTCTGCCTCTCTCTCCATTTCTCTTTCTCTCCTCCCCCTTCTCTCTCTCTCTCTTTCACTCTCTCTTTACCGTACCCCACGCGGTGCCCCATGTAAAACGTTAACAGTGGCGGCGATAGTTACTATATGTGAGGCATCATGGTGGAATCAGGCTCTCGTCAGTTTTTGGGCACATCGAGTTATTGGTATCATCTTAAAGCTTGTTCATTGGTCTTTATTTGGATGAAAAAATATCCGTTTATCTTAAATACAATTCGGGATATTTGAAAATGAAGGAGGTGGGGGTCACCTGTTTTCAGAGGTAAAATTAGTGAGAAAATGGCCGCCAAAGTTTACTTATTTCCTTAGCTTAAGAGTACGTGGTAACTGAAAATTTACATCTTTTGTGCCTTTAATTAACGTTTTTCAGAAAAATCGACACAGAAATGAGTTCTTTAATGAGCATGAAAGGTGTTGAGCCCAAAAACAAAAAGTTTCTTCACTTTGATTATTTTGACGAGAGCCTGATTCCACCACGCTGCCTCACATATTATGATACTGAAATAAGACAAGTATTGAACGTGAGACAATGGTTGCATGCCTCTATGGAAGTACCATCACAAGCGTTGCATGTATTGGGGAAAGTAAAACCACCAGTAAAACGCCTTCGCCTTTTAGGGGGTGCTCACTCACGTGATCGGATTGGGTCGGATCGGGTCGGGTCGGGTCGGGTCGGGTCGTTTTCTGGTTGTTTTAGTGCACACTACCACCGGTACCCGACGGTCAGACAACATCAGTTTGATTGTAGAAAATGGCGTTTAACAGGAGGAGAAGAAAGTTGTTGTTCTATCTTGTTGTGGTCAGGAAGAAGGTTACGCAGACAGAACAGATCTGATACCAAGAGGATTTTTGGGCCCATACCATACATTAAAAGCGGGGATCTCTTTGAGAGTTCCACCATCTCTATCCACAACTCGTCCAAGACAGTGAAAGGTTCTTTGAATATTTTCGAATGAAACCAAGCTAGTTCAATGATTTGCAATCTTTTTACACGGATTGCAAATTCAATTCTTATTATTTATGGACTTGTGCGGGGAAAAGCGTGTGTGTCTGGGGGGGGGGGGGGGGGGGGGGGGGGGCTCTTGTGGTATAGAGGTAACATGGTTCACCTCTCATTCAATAGGTCCCAGGCTCGAAACTTGACAGGGAGGGAGAAGTTTCTTCTTTAAGATATTATCCTTTCACCTCCTTTCCTGCTCTAATGTTCTGTCGTCTACTTTTGTCGCGACGAACGCCGTAAAAAAAAAAAGAAAGAAGACCAACAGACCGTGACAGAAAAGGAGAAAGAATTTATAGAGGCAAGTCTACAAAAGTATCCCCCTTTGGCTCGACGGACGACGTGGAATGAAGTAAACGGTCTGTTCCGGGACTTCCGGTTTGTGTGTGGGTGGGTTGCCGGGTTTTTTTCTAGTTTTTTTTGGGGGGGGCGGGGTTATTACAATGTACCTGTCGTTACAGTTCTGCCGGCGTTCATTCATTTGCATGGGAAAACGGTTCTCAGCAACTGATCCCCTGTGGATTTTTTTTTACAAAGAATGTTAAAAATACAAAAAGACCCTACTTTTAAGTCCTTACTGCTCTGATGCTGGTGTGGGTCTAGACTGAATAGGCTTCACGCTCGAACAGAAAACGAAAAAAGAGAGCAAAGATGAGCTGTATTTGATTGCTAACAATGCATCTGTCTTTGTCCGTAAAACAGATTATTGAGCAAAGAAATAGTTTTGATTCCCTTTACGTTTCTAGAAAAAAAGATGGGTGCGATTAATAGGAACAATAATAAATAAACAAACAGTGCCCCTTGATATTCTAAAATGCAATTAAATAAATTATGAGCCACACTGTTATGGATACAGGAATAGAAAAGTTGTTGCTAGCTTCTTTCCCTGTGTTCGTCTCACCTTAGCGGTCACGCAGCAGTTGTTCCAAGTGATAGGCAATCATGTTCAATTGATTTGTCTCACGGCGTGGCGGAACCAGGCGCTCGCCAAGTTTTAGGCATGTGGAGTTATTGGTATTACGTTAAAGCTTCTTCATTTATATTGCTTTCGATTTTAAAAATACCCATCCATCTTGACTGGAAGACAAGATATTTGTGATTGAAGAAGATGGGGTTGCCGATTTCAGAGGTAAAATTGGTCTAAAAAAAATGGCCTACAAAATTTAGTATTTTCCTTAGCTTGAGAGTTCTTGGAAACTGCAAATTTACTTTTATTTTGCCTCTAATCAATAATCAATATTTTTTTATATTTCCAGTAAAATCCACACATAAGTGTGTGTTTAAATGGACATGAAAGGTATTGAACCGAAAAACAAAAATTCGATAAAAATTGTCAACTTTGCAGAAAAATGTCGGTTTCTTTGATTTCATTCTTTTGAAGAACGCCTTGTTTCACAACGAAACCTCAAATATATTCTACATGTCTCTTTGATAGTTTAACGACAGCATTTACCCCAGCCCACACTATAAATGGCGTGGCTCTAGTCCCAAATCTAATGAAACTTCTTTTTGCCTTCTGTTAGTCTACTAACGTGACTTACAAAATGTATCCTATACCTTATATCACTATGAACATTCGTGCTTTTTCATTAGAAACGATTAAATGTGACTCAAATTAATAGGTTACAGGTGACTTAAACACATATCCAAGCCCCCACCCCTTCCCCCCTTTCCTTAACCCTAATGAAAAAAACCCAACTAAATAATAATATCGTTCACCTCATATGGATTGATATTGTTTTCATACTTTTTGAATAGGGAAAATATTCGTTATTGTCAGCCTGGTGTTTAGGAAAAAAAACCCTCAGCAAAACAGAAAAGAATCCAAGATAGAATCTACATGTAGATACCCCGACTCTAGATATTGTCCTACAAATATACAGATTAGCTTTGCATTCAATTTGCACAAACAATGGAAAGCTACCTCGCCCATTTAGTATGAGAGCATACTAACTGGTGGCAAGAAGAACAAGCATCATTAAAAAACAAAAATATGTAGACCCAATCTAGTTTTCAGTGCGGGAGTCAAACAGCGCCCCGAAAAGTGTGGCCATAGTTCCGTCATGAGGGACGGCTTCTATCGGTCACGGGTTGCTGTCAACATTTCCATTTCCATTCTTTACATCATACTTTTAAAAAATCAGATCTTCGACAGACATAGACGATCATGTTTCGGCATGCATTGCTTTGCTCGGATGGTCTAAAACAGGCTATACTATCCTGGTCTTTCAAGATACATACAGAAGAAGAGGACTTAATATAAAATAAGATAAGATAAGATGAGATAAGATAAGATGATATCATTTTTATTGTCTACACCCTGGCATGCCGGTTTATGTCTGTGCAAGGCGCTGCAAGACTCCAAACTGATAGCTAGACTATGTCAATATTGTAGGTAGACAACGTTGTATCTTTCTTTCGCCTAGTCACATCTTTCTCATTTGATCCTACCGTCTCAATTCAACCCATCGTTGCTCTTATTACACCTCATGTTATCCCAATCCTTCCTTTTAATAAAAAATCTCATTTAATAAAATGTTATCTTCCCATCTCATAATATCTTTCCTCTGCCGTTTCAATGTAGTCTCATACCGTCTTATTTTATCTTTTCTTAGACTGGTTCGAGAACAGATCCAAAGAGAATATCGGCCAGAAAAAGTAACAAACACGACTCCAGAAACACTGCCTGAAGAGGCGCACGGTGGGCCTACCCAGACAGTAAGTAAAAGCACCCTGGCGCCAACAAAGGTACCATATTATGACGTAACTCCCCCAAACCTGGCAAAGATCACAACGCTTACTCAGGACCTGGAGCTATTGCTCTCTGAACCAGTGATCAACCCACACAATTTTAATTACGTCCACAATCCAGACGATGTTTGCAAGAAACAAAAGGCCAAACTCCTTATAGTGACACCTTCTGCGCCTGCGAATGTCAAAAAACGTACACAAGTTCGGAAGATTATCCACAAGCTTCTAAACGGTACAAGCCTTTACAAAGACGTGGTTCACCTTTTCTTTTTGGGAAGTCCCAACGGAAGATGCACTTCTCAAAATGCATCGCAGATTATTGAGAAGGAGGTCAAGAAATATAATGACATTGTCCAGGAAGACTTTTTGGAGTTCTATGGGAACATTCGCTATAAAGCCGTGTCTATGCTTAAGTGGGCCAGCACTTTCTGCTATAACGCCTCCTACGTTTTGCGAATCGACGACGACGTGACCGCAAATCTATCACAGGCAATAGCATCGCTAAGGACGTTTGGGTGCTATCACGAGGACTTTATTCTGGGGAAAGCACTTGAGGGTTGTAAACCTATGCGTAAGAGACATGTAAAGTACTTCATTTCTAAGGAGGAATACCCCCACTCACTGTACCCCACGTTTGCTCTAGGTGGTCTCCTCGGTTACCCACTGAGCACCGTGCGACTGTTATATGAGGCTTCTCTAAGGGTGAAACCGATCTGGTTGGACGACGTCTACATCACTGGGATCTGTAGGACCAAGCTCAACATTTCCCTGTTCACCCAAAAAGAATTTGTCTTTGATCATATTAACGATGGAAGTCTGGTGCCGCTCTCTTGAAAGCTCCGTCATACTGATTGTTCTTTATCCTCACTATCCCCTCGATGGCTCAGTGCAAGAAATCCAGGCGCCACATTTTTGTAAAATCGACTATTTTTTTAAACCTCGTGGCAACAGATCTTTCTCCGTCATATCTTTTCGATGTAACGATCCCACTGTAAACGATTTTAGAAAAATGTGGCATACGAGTTTCTTGAACTGATCCGTCGACCTGTATGCAGCTTCTATGTTACTGTCATTGCCGCCAACATCAATAACATAATTTTGTTTCGGTTTATTTTAATAAGCCCATAACTGTCTACCCGTATTGAAATTTCATTATAAGATATACGTTCATAAATCAACAATAGCTTCACACTAAATGTCGAGCTATGGCTCATGCTCTTAACGCAAACCGGCATTTGTAGTGTACCGGTGAGGTGCTGTGTTGGTCCATGCAGAAAAATTATCGACTTCGGTTCCCACGGGGGTAGAGAATTCTTTTTGTTGAGTATCTCAGTCTTTCTGCTTGGACTTTGTATACCTATCAGCCCAAGTTAGCCCTCATGGTCGAAATTCATCTCCTCTATGAACTAAGTTATGTCAGTAAACACACATACCTTACAACAAATTAATAGCTTTTTATAAAGTCTACGTGGCGCTGCTTTTTTTAAAGTCATAATGATGCGTAGTAATATCGTGGACACATACTACGTCCGATCTGCAGCCGACCAAAAGATTAATGTTGCTGCACATTTCTAACCTTAATACACAAATCAGAAATAAATACGACCATTGTCTGCCTTTAGAAGTTTCAGATATAAAGGAGACAGAAGTGGGAGATCAGCAATAACAAAGACGTTTCGTTCCTTTTTTTTTTCTTTTTAAAAAAATCCCTTGCCCATTTATATGAGATTGACGCCATCTGATTAGTAGAAACCAAGTGCGTATGACTGTAGTGTCCAATAATGTATTACGTACATACTTATTATAACAAGAAACTGTAATAGAAGATAGAGATTCCAGGATTATAGATGTAAGTCATTGATCTGAGAACGGTAATGATTTTATATTATAATGGTGGTGATGAGTGATGATGTGAGATTGCGTTTAAGTAATGTTAGTGTTAGTCCTATCTTCCTCTGCTCCAATGAGTCACGAGGGACGTGGGCACACTCTATGATACTCTATCCTGTTCCCTACTGGAACCATCATTACGGTCATCGTGAAGTTCCCAAATGGTGGGCAACGTCTCTGCTAAGGTGACAGTGTAAGTGTTAAGTTACGTTTCTTTTTATAAGTGCCTCTTAACAGCGCGCCTTCAATAAATTAATCGTTACCGTACCTGACTGTTCTACGTGCCTCGTATAGTGTGCCAGATTCTGAGACTCGGTAAAAGGCTTGTCTATCCTCGCAGACAGCTTTGTCTATCCATCGCTTCTTACTTGCATAATATTCTGATGTATATAAAGGTTAATAAAATAATACAATTATAAATTATAAATTTCTCTTTTATGGATCCCAGAAAGGCAATTTGGTTTACAATGGCAAGCATACATACATACATTCCTACATTCCTACATACATACATATGAATACATACATACAAACATAAATTAAATACATGCACAAATACATACATGGATACGCAATATTACACAAGTACAGAACAATTTACAATCATGTCATTGCCGGTCGTCACTGTGCTGCGCCCTGTATTTTGAGCTAAGATTGTCGTGTCTTGCTCAAGGACACACCCCCAATGACCACCCATCTAAACCCCGTGTCACCGACATTTGCTTGACATTACTTGAGTCTGAACTCTCTGCTCACTTAGCCACTAGAGCACCCAGCAATGGGTGAGGGAGGAAGGAAGAGGGGGATGTAGTTTATTTCTCTCTCGAATATTTCCATCTGTGTGCTGTAGCATTGTTTTCAAACCAACCTTTGTTGTCCTTGACAGGTAGGGTCATGGCATCCGCCTCCTACAGGATATAGATTATGTCGATTGAGGCGTTAAGTATCTGCAGTGATAGTTACATTTACAACCTTTCTTTTTTCGCTTTTTCTTTCTCGTCTCTCTTCTGCTGTTTACAGTAGAACGCTATTTCCAAGGCCATCGGGCAGTGCTATGTGGTCGAACCACCTCATGTTTAATTCTATAATATTTTTATGACATGTTCTTTACTCTGGTGCATGAATTTATCACCCCTAACAACACTGTGAGTATATATAAGAGGTGAAAGCTCTGGGTTTAAACATACATCTCAGATAAGATAATCCAATAAAAGGGATCGAACATTCTTGTAAAGCGCCATTCCAAAGGACACAAACATGAACCCCCTGAACCTGTAATCTCACGATTACGAGTCCTGTAGCCTGACCACTAGATCTAGATTACCGGCTTTCTTGACTTTATTTGGTCGCTTTTAAGCACAAGGGGGCTATCCCGAACAATGATGTTTTGAGAGAATCGAAGGTGAAGTTTTTTGCCCCTTGTTCAGTCAGACAATGAGTTTTATCTATAACCAAACAAATATACACACCAATGAAACCAAACTTTTCCCAAAGGAAAGGCAAATCAAACTTTTGTCGTAGGTCAAGAGTTCTGGAAACCCCCGAAATCTGGGTTAGGCCGCCTGTCCTTAAAAGCGACCATTTATTCTTCCCGGAGACCAGTATGTTTCTCGATGTTCAAAGAACGTCTTCAGACGTAAAGCATGATGTATCATAATTCCATTGGGCTCTTAAGATCTTCAAAGCTAGCTGTAGACATGTCGTTTCTGTTTCCTTTCCAAAGACTGGGATAAGAAGGTGGGTTGGGTGGGTAGGTACGAGGTTTTTAGAGGGGGTTAGGGCTTCTGGATTGGGATTTAGGTCAGGAGAGGGCGGGATTGAGTGAGATCGATGTGGTGTTGGGGTTAAGTCCCTTTTTCAAATTGTTTTAAATAATATGATAGATGTGTAGTCAAGGTAACATGTCATAGAAACGTCTTTTAAAATATTATTAGTTGCTACGGCTAACGTTGCTGTTGTTAATAATAATATGTCACATCAATCTCTGTTTTATGATAATACTATTATTATTATGATTTGTACGAGTAATAGGCCGCTAGAAAATTACTCAGATTTCTGTCATACGATGTTAAATGTGTTGAGGAAACGTTTTTCCTACTTGTTTTTAACATTACCTCTGTGTTCCATAAGTCTGTGCATCTTTAATTCCTGTTACTGAATGTTACTATGTTACGATGCATTTCTATTGTTACACTAATATGATTTGTGTTTTTATGTTAGTTTGTTTTTTGTTTTTGTTTGTATGGTTGTTGTTGTGTTTTTTTTACTTTTTAACGTTTTAGTTTTAGTCTTTGTATTTTATATACATTTTATTTTATTTTAGAATTTTTTTTTTGCTTCGTTTTATGTTTATAGCATCAAATGAAAAAGTTTTAAAAGTGAATGGAAAAACAAAATGTTAATGTTTGTATGTGTATGTAGTATAGGGTTTTACGGCGCTCGCAACTGCTAAGGTCATAAGAGCGCGCTGTTAATGTTTGAAATATTTAATATTAATTTATTGCTTGCTGAGCATCACGCTGGTAGGCAGACAATTGGACACTCTGGAGGAAATAATGGTGAAATTTTACATCGCTGTGGTAAAACGGAACAATAACGGACGACCTACTAAAAAAAGGGATTTAAATTGGCCGTCAAAGGCGGTATGATGTAAATACAATGCATTAATGTAGAGTTTTGTTCTTTTTGTCTGTCGTCCTCCTAACACTCTTGATGTTAACTTGCTGTTTTTTTTTGGTCATATAATTAGGCTTACGGTCTTTCTATTTGAATGCAAAGGTTCTGTTTGTTTGTTATAGTTGCTGATTTTTGTCAAAAGTATTAGATCTAAGTGATGGACAAAATAAAGCAAAAAGATGAAATCAGTTGCTACAGAACCCGTTGAAATAATTATACTCAATTTATGTCTGTCTGTCTGTCTGTCTGTCTGTCTGTCTGTCTGTTTGTCTGTGTGTCTGTCTGTGTGTCTGTCTGTCTGTCTGTTTGTCTGTCTGTCTGTCTTTGTAAATCTACGTATAATTATTATATCACATTGTTGTGTATCTCGATGAATGTGTGGCACAGCAGTTTAAAAAAGAAACAAAAAGCAGGCGCTCATTCGATGATAAGGTTGAAAAGCCACTTTTTTCATATTTAAAAAAGCTCAACACTTTTTGCCTCCATGTCAAAAAACACATTTCCAAGGAGACTCAAATTCTGCAGATCACCAAACTAACCTTGGTGCTTATTTTCTTGCTGATTTTACCTGTGACACCAGTGACCCTCATTTTCAGAGAGATCGCTTGGAAAGCCTCGTGGCTGAGCTCACTTCTCTATTTTACGACTATCACCAACAGTTCCCTCTTATCTGTTCTCTTATAGACTACACATCAGTACATTGTTAAACGCCTTTGTATATCGATTACTGCAGTTGGGAAATCCTTCATAAAACAGCCACTTGTCGTCACAATATCGGCCAAAGTGACCCCCACCCCCCCAAGAGGGGTCATTAAGATATCAAGTCAATGAGAATATGACTGCATCCTTTCCTCCCTTTGCCTAGGTTCATGTAAATAAATGCACGCTCCGTTAAAAAACACGCTTGGGAGCTCTCCCGAGCACCGTGCGTTTAGGCGGAGACTACTGGGTATAAACGAGCTGCACTGCAGTAAGTTGAAGAACCAGCAGTCGACTGCGCATGAGAGTTTGTTTAAGTAGAGGTTTTTGCGGCGATCGCAACTACAAAAGGTCATATGAGCGCCAGAAGATTTGATGTGTTACAATAGAGTAACAAACATTTTAAAAAAGGGGAGATAAGGACGATAGACGTTTGATAGGAAAATAGAAGCAAACCACACCAGAGCAACCACAACCACCCATTGCGCCTGAGATCAAGCGGGGAAACACAAAGGAGAAGAAGAAGAAGACCCACACAGATCTCCTTTCAGAGGTGGACATTGTCAATCCCGCCCCTGGCAACTGAAAGTGAAAGGTCTCATGCCATTTCGATTCTTTCTTTATTTGTCTTATCACAATAAGTCTTTCATTGCACAATTTGCGCTTACACCTAACGATTTATCGCATGATCGAGAGATCATCCACCTATTTTTTTTTGTGGGGGGGGGGGGGGGGGGGGTACAATTTATTGTTACATGTAACCCAGCCGTTAGATTTGTGCAAACATTTTTTTTATGTCTACAACTGTACAAACAAATGCCAGTGCAAACACAATTTTGTCTTCTCTTCTACTTTCTGCAGCACGAAGGTACCCTTAATAGATTATATGATCCACAGACGAGTGCCATAATTCTCCTTGCTCCTTTTAAATTACGGAAGATTCTCTTTTGTGCCGCTGTTGATGTTGATTCCGTCAAAGGAATTTCCAGGGCTTGCAAGACCAAATTCTATTAAAATTTCGTAGTCTAAGAGGCTCTTTTGCCCCAACGTAAGCACTGTCTAGCACACAAAGATTAAGTCCACGCCCATATTTGGTAAATGTGTTTATGCGTCGCTAGGCTGCCTACCCCCTTTCCCCCATTTTTTCACGTAAGCACTCCGCTGCACACACAGACAGGCTACGAACACAGATGGGCTACGAACGCAGTAAGAACAAACTACACGTCTTCTGCACGGATTCGTCTACAACGCGCGTTCGCTACAACTTTTTGACGAAAGTGCACTTTGCTTTGTGACATCGTGGATCCTGTCTCACGTTCGGGTTGACCCGACCTATACAAAATGCATATTAATATCAACAATATCAGACTTCTGAGGATACATACAAGTATTATGCACAGCAGAATCAAAGAATCCAAGTTCCCTTTAGAATGATTTTAAATATAAAATATTTCCATTTTTATATTTGTGCTTTGTGCGTAGCAGGGAGTAATATTTTTTTTCCTGTAGTTAAACCATCAATAGCCCATTAAAAAAAATATCTTGACTAAACTTTTTATCTAGAAATTACAATGAAAGTGAAAAATAAAACACAAAGTTGAATTTGTTCAATAAAAGAGTGACTTATTTTCAAAAAAGTATCAACGTGTTATTCAATTTTTTTTTTAAATCCCTGACTTGTTTCATGGAGTAGTAATTAGATTAATCATGAACGACGACGACGATGATGATGATAACGACGACGACGATGATGATGATAACGACGACGGTATTTTTTACAATGATCATGGTAACGACGGTAATTAGTGATGATGATGATGCTACTGAACAGATCAGCCACGTTACCTAAAAGTAACCAAAAGGCATTCCCTTGGGGACAAAGGCTTTCGAAAGTTTGTCGCACACTTGGTGATAGCTGGACTCACTAGCTCTAAGAGTGTGCAAAATGTTGATGGCTTAATTCTGATGTAATCTATGCACTTTTTTTTTCGTCTTTCAGAAATTCATTCAATAGATGATATATTCACCCAAGTTTTCCCTTTTTCTAATATTATATCTCATGCATACAATATCTTTGACCCCTATAACGTCTTTTCCCCAGCCAGTATAAAAGAAGGAGCTGCAGAGCCACAACACACAGAGACTCCATTTTTGAATTAGCCTGATTGTCAGGTCATCTTGGCCCTCGACTACGGATGTTCACGCCTAGGTCTAGATACAAAAATGCATTTTCTCAGATCATGGCAGCTTTGAGCACGTCATCGTTTCCTGTCACTGTAGTGCAGAAGTTAAAGACACGTTATATCCACTGACCTAAGATATAGTTTTAGGTCGGTGGTTGTATCGCACTGCGTTTGCAGCACATGCTGAAGGTGTATTGAAGCAGTTCGCCCACTGTGGAGCTATCACGTGCACGCCAATGTCTGGTACATTCGTTTATTCGTCGCTTGGCTGCACCTTCTCCCCCACCCCCACCCCACCCCACCCCATTTTTAAAATTAAACAGCAACAAAAAAACCCCAAAAAACAACAACCCCAAAACAAAAAAGACCCCAAACCTGTATATAATCAGCTCTGACGATGACACCTGGTGCATTGTTCTTCCATTGAAGCAAACCGACCTGAAAGTTAATGATCTATCATGATGAACGGAAAAGTGCGTGAAACCACAAATGTCGTGACCCCAAAGTGCGAGAGAAAAAAAATTCGTTTCTTAGGCTCCCAGTTCTTTCATGCTCATTTCCTCTTCTGTTAACATTCCTAGCGAGCAAACTGGGGGTACCGTACTTGTGGATACGAAATTTCACTTGGCTATCCCCAAATCTTCAAAGTTCCTTCAACGAAAAAAATATTGTCCTTCATCCACCCCTCAACCCCCCCCCCCACAAACACTCACGCACAAGCAAAACCTGACCCCTTCTTGACCTATTATATGACGCACGTCATCCGTGCTGCTTCTGTGTTGTTCGGTGTTCGTCATGATTTGGGGAGCACAGGACAAATCCCGATGGGTACAAAAACTCCCCTATTAGGTTCTACTAAACGCACACACTTCAAAACGTGAAGCCTGATATATTCTACTGTGTGGTTCAGAGACATGGTGGCTCACAGCATCAGCAGCAAGGAAACTGCAGAGCTTCGTGAATGGGTGCCAACGAAGGATAGTGCGGATCAAGTGGTGCGATCGAGTCACTAATGCTGAACTGTGGGAGAGAACAAGTCAAAGGCCAGTAAAGGAAGACACAGGTGAAGAAATGGAAATGGATTGGACACACCCTGAGGAGACCTCCGACAAGCATCATCAGGCAGGCTTTAACGTGGAACCACAAGGAAAACGTAAGGGAAGACCAAAGGCGAGCGGTACAAGCGGAAATTGAAAAGGCGGGGACATCATGGAAAAAGGATGCTCAGGACAAGCTTCGCTGGAGTAATGCTGTTGATAGAGAGAGAGAGAGAGAGAGAGAGAGAGAGAGAGAGAGAGAGAGAGAGAGAGAGAGAGAGAGAGAGAAAGAGAGAGAGAGAAAGAAAGAGAGAGAGAGAAAGAAAGAGAGAGAGAGAGGCACACAGACAAAACCTGCTATCGGTCAAGATCGCTACGCATAGGGCGCACCTAATTTGTAGGTATTGAGAAACAATTCCTATCGTCCCGAATCTCCGTTGCGGGGGGACATATCACGCACCATCGCTCACAGCGTTGTGTCAAGTAACGTCAAGCGGCTGGACAAGGGAAACTTTTAAATGACCATAGCAAAGCAGGTGTCCATCGTAGAAAGAACCCAAACAAACATTTGAAATTGGCATCCTTCAATATAGGGTAGATCCGAGCAGATTGTTATTTCTCAACGGTATAGAAAATAATTAAGGTTGCTATTCTATAGAAAAAGTATCAGTGTGTTGTGTGGTGCATGGGAATTGTGTTATTATTTCTTTGTCAGTGGGCCAGCCCGGTGCGACAATTTTTTTTAACTTTCAGGGATGCTTTCTGTGACCCCTAGGTGAGATAAATTGCTACATGTACTTATTTTAAGAATACTTGCCAGATTTTGTTCTGTGCTCTCCCTTGCAAAGCAGGAGGACCATGACGAAAGCCACTCTCATCCCATTTTGTATTCGGTTTACTACATAAAGGAAATGTAGACAGTTTGACAATATCCTTTAAATACGCAACCGAAATCACAGGACATCTGAGCAGAACTTGAGTTTTAAAAATCTAATTTTGTGTAATCCACATTTCTGTCGACTGTTCATGGGCCTTTGCAATATTGAGAAGGAGACGAGTCCTCGTTGTGCAGGGGAGGGGGGTTAATAATCATTTCATTTGACGCTCAAGAAGCACAGTTTATATATTTGTTATGATTCTAACTTGCCAGAGCTAGATCAAATTCAGCAGGACAGCCTACATGTGCTGAAAATGTGTTTCACGTGTTTTTCCCTCGGAAAGATCCATGCAGAGTGGATATGTCTGTCATCGATGAGCCAAAAATATAAGTGGGCCGTCTTGTGTACACTTTGTCATGCACCAAGTCATTTTGTTGAACGAGGAAAACTCGTGTTACGACGCGATGAAATCGGGTGCTCGTAAAATTTTTGGGCTTGTGGAGTTTTTGGCATCATCTGAAAGCCGATTTATTTGCCTTGCTTCAAATTAAAATATCCATTTTTTTTAAAAACAGACAAAGATATTTGCGATTGAAGGAAGTGAGTTCGCCTGGTTTCAGTGGTGAAATTAGAAAAATGGCCGCCAAAGTTTGTAACTCCAATGACAAAAGAGTATTTGATAACAAATGACACACTTTGTGCCTTTACGGTTTTTCAGTAAATTTCACAAGGAAATGTGTTTCTATATTTCCATTGAGGCTATATCATAAAATAGAAATTTGAAAAAAAATTTCATACTGGCGAAAAAATGCCTGTTTCTCGGATTTCGTTATTTTGACGAGCACCCGATTCACCTCACCGCCTCACATTTAACAGCGAGTGCAATAGGTTCATAATGGCCTCACATTTAACAGCGAGTGCAATAGGTTCATGTGAAATGAGAAAAAGAAAACAACCATTTTTATCTATACATACAAAAAATATTCTACACATGTGAACACAGAAAACAAGAACACGTCAAATTGATCAGTTTGTTTTCTATTGACCGACTGATTGCACAATGGAGTCCAATGAGTGGACTCTGGCAGTGACAGGTGAGGTCGGTCTCCATCCAATCTGCGATACTCTGAAGCCTGTTCCCAATTAGGGACATGTCAAAAGAAGTCATGGAATAGCCATTAAGTAGCATGGAGCAGAAAAAAAAAATCCAAAAAAAGCCGTTAAGTAGCATCCAGCCAAAAAAAAAAATAAACGCCCAAAAACGCCGTTAAGTAGCATCGGGCCCAAAATCGCCGTTAAGTAGCATCGGGCCAAAAGAAAACTATACCTAGCAGTCGTGTCGAGTCACAAGAATTGGCAGTAGAGTCGTCATTCAGGTCACCAGTTGTACCCAAAAGCTACATTATAAAAAATCCCCTGTAACGTCATTAAAATTGGTCCTCAGTATCGTCATTAAAAAGAATCAGTATTGTCAAATGGTCGAGTGGCGTCCTGAAAAGGAAAAAAAAAAAAGTGCCTAACACCCACCTCCCCCCCTTTCTAAAGAACAAACTTTAAAAAAAAACAACTAAATCCCGCTAAGATTACCGCACCATAGAATATTCTCTACAGAGTAACGTCTTGTCAAGATGTCATTTTTAGAACAGTCGTCTTGGTCCCTAAATAGATCGTGCTTGCCTATATGCAAGCCATGCATGTCACATTGTCATGTTCCTTTGAAATTAAAATAGAATACAAATTTAATAAATTAATTAAGTACGTTCACGGACTTCATCATAAACATTCCCCAGCCCCTCCCTTAATTTTCCCCACAGAGCCGAAAAAAAAATTCCTGCTTCTGGAATCCGTAATGGACAAGCCCGAGCTCTTGCTATTGGAGCAAGACCCTTGGGGTTAAAAGTGGGGCGGGTGTGTGATGAAGGCAGGGATAGAGGAATTGTCACACTAAAAGGGGTGTCAGGGCTACACAGCAACGCAGTGGCTTGAACGGACGTGCTCAGGACCCAGTCTGAAAGGGGTCAAACGGTCTGGTGTGGTGGTATCGGCGCTTGGCCAGCGCATGCTGGATAGCCTTCAGCATGACCTCCAGAGTGCCGTAGTTCTGAGAAGTAACCAGGCCGTAGTTGATCAGCGGCTCCAGGTGGACAAGGTCCGAGAAACGCTCCTGGGGCAAAGAAAAAAAACAACAGGAGTGCAGGACACAGGATAAGGGAACAAAATGAGTAAAGGAAACTTGATTACAAAATACGAGTTTTACGTCCCCGTCATTGTAATAAGGTCATACGAGTGCTCTTGACACATTTAACATTTTCTGTTTGGTAGGAATTTTTAAGCTTCCCTGGTTGGCAGCCAGAGCCTACTCTTACCGATTTTAGAACCACCAAGGGATTTTCTAACGTGCGCAATGTGCACATGGGATCTCCCAGAGTTTTCGTCCGTATCTGAAAATCGAGGGCGTTACATCTTACCATATTATCAGGAGCGTGTCTGAAGTACAATAGTAAGGAGCCAAGGAGTAGCAGTTGACAGTCTGTAGAAAGAGTCAAGAGCCAAGAGGGGATAAAGGAGAAGGAGAGGAGCAGATGGAGACAAAAGTACACGGCAGAGTATGTTTAGAGCAAGACAGGAGATGTAAAGTGACAATTCTAGAATAAAAAGGGTCGTTGTCAGGTTACGGGACCTGTTGAATGGGAGGTTAACGTAACCCTTAAACCACGAGAGCCCTCGTTTGAGAGAAGAGAAGCACATTGGCACGTGGTGGTAGAAAAACAGAGCAAAAATTAAGTACGGCCTTTTAGAAAGTGCCCTTCAACAACCTCGCAAAAAGGAAGCGGCCTGGGACAGACAAGCATGTGTTAACCGTTATCCGCCTTGTTTCACAGACAGTACAGGGAGAGTAAGTTAACTGACATGAAGCCAACATGTTTTCGCTCCATTGTTTCAGGGCTTTTGAAAAGATGTAAGTTTCCAGTTAAACAGCACTTACAACACAAAGATTATTTCTGAAGACTAGGTGTTAGAAAAGAGTAACAAATAGAAGAGAAGGAAGGACAGATACAAGTGAAAAGATGTTTGATAAGAGCAAATCCACACCAGTGTAACCCCCCTCCCCTCCTCCAAACCGCACACGTTAGTAGTTTACAAGCTATGGCGGCCACTCACATGTTTCGGCGGGTCAGGCTGGTTGAGTATCAGATGCGCGTGGAAAAAGTAGGGGTCCACGCCAGGAGGAGCCAAGTAGAATGGCGTACATTCCTGGCACGACAGCTGATCTTCCACTGGGGAAAGCGAGATGTAATTTTTCATCAGATTCTCGAGATCTTAACAAAAATTCAACACGTCGTGCACACACACCTTCACACAATAATAATTCGGTGGGCATACAAAATATAAAATTGTATAAATTTGTTTTTGGAATTTTTTTTGGATAGGTTTTAAGGCTCCACATTTTGGTCTTGGCCCATCAGGGATGTAGGTCATGCCTTCTGAATAACTTACATTATTTTAAAATCTATACAATGATAAACGACTCTCCCCGTTATTTTGCGACCCTAGATTTTCATAGTACTATATCATGTTCAGTACCTAGTAGAGAAATTTGACGTAAAAATTGAAATTCACAATATGGTTAGGCTTTTTTGAATTTAATTCTTTACATAACTTTACTCCAAATATCTTACGATTTTGATATAGCAAATAGAACATTTGGTTTCTGACCTCTTGGCCTTGGTAACATAAAACGGCCTAAAATTTCCAAACTTTAGTAATATTAGTAAATGATTGAGCACTAGACCAGTCTAAAAAAGAACAAAGCACTATACATATCCAAGAGATATAGAACTAAACCCTTGAAACAACTCGAGATAAAGCAGTAGACACCTATAAGGAGATTTTAAAAACCCAGCTAAGTCAAAATGTCAAAATTGTCCCCCAAAAAGCTACCCTTTTCAAGGAGAGAAGTCTTATTAGGTTAACGTCTTTACAGTGTCTTTGAAGTCACAAATGGGCGAAGGGGATTGATGTACGTACGAGGGGTCGTCTTGGACTTGAATGGAGTAGGTGTTTTACTGCACTATCCACCCTGTTTTGGTCATCGTCTTGGAAAAGTGGCCGTTAGGGCAGCTTAGGCCGTCTTTTTAAAAAAAGTTTTAGTAAGTGTTTTACGGCACTTGCAACAAAATAAGGTCATACAAGTGCCGACGATTAGGTGTAACAAGAGAGTAACAGACATAAAAAGGAGGAGAGAAAAGGACGATAGATGCTTCATGAGAAAGAGCAAACCGCAAGAGAGCACCCACCAACCAACCACCCACACGGCTGTCTGTACTTACGGACGACTTTGAAGGCGTTCGGATGCGGCAGCTGTTGCGGTGGAGTCGCCACTTTAGGCGGAGGAGGAGGCGGGGGCGGACGAGGTGGGATTTGCTCCATGTTCAAGTCACGGGACATGATGGATACAGTTGCAACTTAAAAAGCAGGTACCAAACTATATCCGTCCGGTATCTGGAGAGGTAATGAGCATTGTTTTATACGCAACAGTCGACAATTTTCTCTAAAAGAAAAGTGTTAAGCAAAACAAGTAGGTCTCAAGTGCCAAAAGTTTATAAGTGCTACTCGAGGAAAACATGGAAAGGAAAGAAGGAAGAGATGGTGAAATGGTATGGCTTTAACGCCCCTATCAACAGATGGAGGAGAGACAAGGAAGATAAGGTTTGATAGGAAAGCACGATCGCAAGTCAACCAACCATGAACAACAGAGTTTAAATGACCACTCTTGAGCTTGGTGGGAATCAATTAGAACACCAATAAGATGTGGCCATCATGGACTGAGAGGCATATCGCATTCAAGAGGAACCATTCTCGTTTGAGCCTATTCTAAATTAGAAGTGAGGCGTTGCGGTGAAAATCAGGCACTCATCAAAATAATGAAATCTAAGCAATAATTCGTTATCCCCCTCCAGTTTGACAATTTTATATCGAATTTTTGTTTTATTTCTTTACTCATTACCTATTATTATGTCCATTCATAAAAACTCGTGTGTGGAAAGGAAAATGATTAAAAGCATAACAAAACGTAAATTTGTACTTTCTAAGGAATCTTAAGTTATATACTAAATATACCTAGATATATGGGCATTTTTTTTCTTCTTCGAAAGAAAGGCATATGAACAAGTTGTAAGATTACACCAAGATCTCCGGAGAACAAGTGCCGGATTCCACCACGTTGTGGCATTTGCAGAACCAACGAATGCAATCTTTGTGGATTAGATAGAGCACGTATTAATTGAAATAGAAACGCTTCTTTTCAAGAACAACGATTTGAAGTCTGAAACGATTTTTAAAACCCGCCAATTTGAAGTGGAACATTGCTGGAAAAAACATTAGACGTCGAAATGCTTTAATAACACGAATTAACTTGGAGTCAGTTTGAAAGAACACATACATTTGAAATTGAACCACATTGATACTCACTTGACCTGCAGCCTAAAAAAATGGCTTGAGATGTGAAATGAAGAGAGATATGGTCCTTTTATAGTACAACATGCTGAACAAGTACGTGAGTTTTGTTCGTAGTGGTCAATCCACGTGAAGAATAATAATAATGTGTTGTTATAGAGTGGGACAAGGAAGGAAACAGAAACAATAACGTGTGACCCTTCACCGCTATTTAAGACAAACGTCGGACTCTTTTTTCGTTTCTGTAAATCCTGCAATAATAGTGTACTTAGCCCTCCTCTTTCTCCACCCAAATATTCTGTTTCTGCCTTCTGAAACAAATTGTGTGAAAAACATGTTTAAATTCTAAAGAATTCCCTATAACAGCAGTGACGTGTCTTTAAAGCTGAATAATCGGCGATCCGAAAATGTTTTGAGTTTTGATGCTTCTTTTTTAGAGTAATGATCGACTCTGCCAAACCTGCCTTACTACTAATGCGGGATTCTAAAATCACAGAATCTTGGACGGGCGTTTATGATGTACCACACTGGCGATTTGCTGCCACACGCAAAAGGCCGGAGTTCGAATCTAGTCGAGGGGAAGTTTTCCATCGTGGACTGCCGATTGTATTCTCAAACATAGATCCCTCTCAATCCTGGTGTTGCCTCCACAAGTAGGTTCAAAGCTACTATCTTCTTAAGCAATATACAATCTGTAGAAAATGGTTCAAAACATCTACAAAATACATAATAAACTATTTAGAAGTGTAGAGAGAAAACTGTTGCGAGATGGATGGTCACCCTGAGCGTGTCACTAAGTGAGATACGCCGACTCGTGCACGTAATAAGGTCACTCTAATGTGTCTACCAGAGCTCTTTGTATGAGCTGGTCAGTTTTTCGTGTGCTGTGAGTGAGTAAAGGGCTTGACGTGTTTATCAACACGCCTTCACAACACAAATAATGTAAGTAAGAATGGTCTAACAAAGACAGAAATGATATTGTGGGCCGATCATTCTGACGTCAAATATTGTATTAATATACTATATATGTATTTCCTGTTGCTTCTTCACGTGTTTCTCTGTTAATTTTACGAACCCTCGGGAATTTTGCTGCTCGACTGGCAAAACAGGTCCACTTCTTTTTTGTTAAACTTCTTGGTATGATATTTCTTTTTCTTATACGTTCCTGCGTTGTCCATTTACATGTACTCTGAGGTGACCTTAATATTTAAGTTTTAAACGTTCGCGTGATTTGACCTTGTGTGTGCGTGTGTGTTTGTGTGTACTTGTATATGTGTGTGTATGAGTTTCTCTCTCTCTGTGTGTTTGTGTGTGTGTGTGTGTGTGTGTGTGTGTGTGTGTGTGAGAGAGTGAATGTGTGTGAAAGGTTGGGGGTTCGAGGGCGCCACTGGTAGGTCCTACTTCTTCCTTCTTTTCTGTTCCTCTTTTGTCTCTGTCTTTCTGTTTCTCTTCTTTCTAGCACAGTTACACTTAATTTTGTTGATGTTCTTTCTTTGCTCAGACTCAGTATGGGGGCTCTCGTGATTTACAGGTACGGTGTTCCCCTCTCATTCAAAACGTCCGTCCCTGGACTGGAAACCTGACAGCGACGGAAAATGTTCTTCTCTAAAAATGTTCTCCTTTCACCTCCGTTCCGGCTCTTTAGATCGACACGTCCTGTTACGTCGTCTGCTTTCATCTCCACTTTTTACCCCCTCCCCCTCCCCCCTCCTCTGGACTCCTGACTCTTTGTCTTGCCTTTCTATTAATACTCATTTCTTGGGACATGCAAATGTAGCCTATATTTTTCTGTGTATTTGATCAGTTTTATCAGTCACGGTGTTCGCCTCGCATTCAAAAGGTCCTCAGCTCAAAAACTGACAGCGACGGAAAATTTTCTTCTCTAAAAATGTTCTCCTCTCACCGCCGTTCCAGCTCTCTTAACATGTTATGTTGTCTGATTTTGTCTCCACTTTTTACCCCCTCCTCACCCACCTTTCCCCTCCTGTTGGCTCCTGGCTCTTTCTCCAGCCTTTCTACTGCTACTCCGTGGCTCCTTCTTACTGCTGGTCTTTTAGCCACACCCCTGATCTCATGGTAGGTGAGATCTAACCCCTAGCCTTTTCAGATTAGAGCTAAAAATCTCGGGGATCCCGAGAGCAAGTTGCGAACGTTCAAGATCCTTTGGTGGTCGTAAAATCGATTAACAGGAGACTTCGGCTGTATCCCGTGCAAATTTCAAAATTAGTCCCAGCCAAACTGAAAAATCCGTAACGTGTCCCTGGCGCTCACCTGACCTAATGTTGTTGTGAGCACCTTAAAACTTTAAAAGACATTAAAAAACAACCAAAACTAAAACCAACACGAAAATATAAACCCAAAACAGCCAGGAAAAAACCCACTCTGTTTGATTATTTGTGTGTATGTATGTGTATTTGTGTGTGTGTGTGGGGGGGGGGGGTGTTGGTGTGGGTGTATATGTGCGTGTGAGATATAGATTCTGTATGTGTATGTGTATGTGTGTGTGTGTGTGTGTGTGTGTGTGTGTGTGTGTGTGTGTGTGTGTGTGTGTGTGTGTGTGTGTGCACGCACGCGTGTGTGTGTGTGCACGCTCGCGTATCATCTTAAAGTTTTTTATTGGCGTTTGTGGTGTTACGTGTATAGATTCTGTAAGGACCACCACATGGACCCCTAATGATACTCGCTTAAATGGGCTCTAGTGGTCGAAAAAGTACGGTGTCCGCCTCTCATTCAACAGTTCCTGGGTTCAAATTCGGACAGCGTCGGAACATTTTATTCTCTTAAATTTTCTCCTTTAACCTCCTTTCCGGCTCTCTAACAATGTTCTGTCGCCTGCTTTCGTCTCCACTTTCTGTCCCCACCCCCGCACCTCCTTTGTGCCTTCCTTTGGGCTCCTGACTTTTTCTACAGCCTTTATACTGCTACTCCTTGGCCCCTTATTACTGCTGTCTTTCAGCCACACCCGTGATCTTACGTTAAATAAGATAAAACACCTAACCTTCTCCGAACCTCCTCGAACAAGGGTGAGAAACCTCGGAGGTCCTGTGTGCAAGCTGAGCGCGCTAAAGATCCATGGGTGGCCCAAAATAGATAAAAGTAGGTTTCGGCAGCCACCCGGGTAAAATTCAAAATTTCCAACCAACTGAAAAATGTTCAATGTATCATGCGCGCTCATATGAACTTATTATGCTGTTGCGAGGGCAGTAAAACACTTAACAAAAAAACGACATAGATAATTAATTAAATCATTTAGCAGGGGAGATAACAATGGAAAATAATTGTTCCGTTGTTAAAATTTTAACTGTTACTTCCCCTGAACCACAAATGCTCCTTCGTTATTCTAATCTTTACTGTTTCTTCCCTTTAACCACATAAATTATTGTTCTAAACAATCGTTACATAAAAATACAACATGATTTCCAAAAGCTTTTCAAGAGCAAGATAATGTCGTCGAATTAACGTATGTGTGTCTATAACAATGTCTATCTATCTATCTATTTATCTATCTATCTATCTATCTATCTATCTATCTATCTATCTATCATCTATCTATCTATCTATCTATCTATCTATCTATCTATCTATCTATCTATCTATCTATTTATCGGAAGAGCCAAAAACACTACTACAAAAGAAAAATATCAACAACTGCATGTTGTTATTAATGGAATTAATAATATTGTGTAAATCGTATAGAGCCTGCTTTCTAGTGGTTACATGCTCGCTACAAATGCTATTTATAATCATTATTATTATTATTATTATTATTATCATTATTATTATTATTATTATCATTATTATTATTATTATCATTATAATGATAATAATAATAATAATAATAATAATAATAATTATTATTATTATTATTATTATTATTATCATTATTATTATTATTATTATTATTATTAATTTAATGGTAATAAGGAAGTTATTATCAAAATTGTACTGTTTAAAGGATTGACTTGGGTTGTTTGCAATGAGTTCGTTTTCTCGGTTCCAATATTTCATGTTTTTTTTTTGTTTTTTTGTGTGTTTTTTTTTGGGGGGGAGGGTTTTTTTTTTTTTTTTTTTTTTTTCTTTTGCTCTCCTGTACAAAAAGAACCCCTGTAAAACTGCATATGCTGTATTTAAAAAAATGATGGCAGACAAAGTCTAAACTCGTGTAGTGACTGGCTTTTCCTATTCAACTGTAAAAATAATTGAGGCAAATAAATTAATTTACTTTAACAATAGGATTCAAACATAATCTCCTACTCCTTACCCTAGACGAAAACTAATAGGTCTGATCTTTCTACTTGGCCGTGTCGCATCGTGTTCACACCTATCATAGTGTTTTGTTTGTTGCATGTTTTATATAGATTGAACACTGCCTCCAACACTGTAAGATTATTTAAGAGACAGGACCTCCGAATTTTAACATAATTTATTTTCAGAAATAATACATCTTACGGGTGGAGAACCAATAACCTTCCCCCCCCCCCCCGCCCCCCCCCCCCCCCCCGAACCTCGCCTCATTGTTCTTCAATGTGAATGGACTGTCTGAAAATACAGATGAGGTTATAGATTAATACCTTTTAAACTTAAAAATATATCATATGTGTATGTGTGTATGTGTGTTCGTATGAGTGCACACATGTTTGTATCCGTGTGAATGCGTTTTAGTGTTAGTAAGTGTTTTACTGCACTTGCAACACAATAAAGTCATAGAAATACCGAACATTAGAGGTGTTACAAGAGAATAACAAACACAAGAAAGGAGGAGAGAGATAAGGACGATAGATGTTTGACAGGAAAGAAGAAGCAAAGTGTGAATGCGTGTGTGTGAATGCATGTGTACTTCTCAACACATGCTCGAAGACTTCTCGTTTGGGACTTGAACCAGGATCATCCGCTCCGTTGTTCAGCATGATGCTCTTTGGAGCAATGGAGAACCTACTTCCATATTATAAGGTGCCAGTTTTCCAAATGAAAAATATAAATGAAGAACAAGAGTAAAAAAATGTAACTAACGGAATTGAAATTAAGTAACGCTAT